AGGTTTCCATATTAGCACATACAGATCCACCACATTTTGAGCAAAAAAATTCAATAATACAGATAACTATAATTTATTCAACCAGTCCTCTAGAACATTTTCAGTTTTTTTTTTTTTTTTTTTTTGCTATTTTAAACCATGCTAAAATGAACATCTTTGTACACGTGTGTTTCTATACAATAAAATAAAATACATTCAATATAGGTATGTTATGTTTCGAAATTTTGGTTAACTTTTCTGCCCTTTCCTGTCCAGTTCTATCCATAAGCCTCAGCTGTGAATGTTAAACCTCTTTCTCTATTGCCACAATTTCTTCATTTCATAAGAAATGAAAAGAATAATGTTTATAAACTAAGAGGGAGAGCAAAGACCCTGAATTTTACAATATGCATCAGATACTATAATGCTAACCTATATGTGATTTGTCAGGACAATATTATAATATGTAAACAAACCTACCCCAAAATAGCTTTGGCTAAGAACTTTAGCTTAAATCTTCTCCCCTGCTCTCTGACATAAAGCAATGATGTATCAATAACATATGGATGTATCATCTGAGGAAGAAAGAGAATAAAATGAGTAGCATATTATGCTAAAGGAAAAAATAAGTGGGCTGGAAGGTTGAAGAGCCCAATGTTTAGATTTGAGATAAATGGAATAGGCATTTATAGTAGAAAAACTACAAATAAAGTCCTAAATCAGATACTCACTTTCAATGCTCTGAGATACAAGTCTAAGGAGTGGCCCACTAACACAGCATCTGGAGGAAGCAATGCTTTTAACCGCTTCTGTACATCTTTGAGTTTGGTTGTGACTGGGTTAAGAGTCTTCTTCGTGATTCCTGAAAAACTTTCAACAAAAAAAGAGAAATGGACAGGCTATTAACAAGTTTTCTTCCCTGGAAAATCATTTCCAAAAGAATATTTTAAAAATTATACTTAATATTGCTTAGTGTCAAAAAGGTTGAAAATACAGATAAGAGGAAATTAAAATTAGCCATAATCCTACTATGCAGAGATGATCACTTTTTACATTTTAGTAAATATCCTTCCATATTTTTGATACCTATACATTTATATTTATATTTTTTTATGAAAATGCAATCATAATGCACATGCTACTTTCTGACATGAGCCAGTCATTTGAAATATATCATGAATAAGTTTTCACATCAATAAATCTATTTTAGGACATCCTTTTAAATTGTCATGGAGTGTTCCATTATAGGGATATAGTATATTTTAACTAATCCTCTACTTTGAGACATTTATATTCCATTTTTGCAATACTGTGACAAACACGCTTATACATACATACGTCTTTGCCACACATGACTGTCCCCTAAGAATATTATCTAATTATCAAGTCTGCTAACAGGGTAGTCTTTATCATTATCATAGCCTCTCTGTGCCTAAATAAGCATGACTCAACAGATACAACTTTAATGGGTGGAAGCAGTAATGTTTCACTGGCTTCTTCTTTGCCTAGTCACTATGTGTACATTCTGAAATTATGTGCTAATCTTTGGAAAAACAGACTAACATTTTGAGCTTCAAATTTCCGTTATGGGAAAAATCAGGTTTTAGTTTTTTATTTTTGGGGTCAAGGCAAATGATGACTTGCAGATTTTCAGATGAGGTCTTATCAGAAAGCAAAGCTCCAGCTGTTTGGCAGTTACTAGATAATGATTACAACTGGGAGATTCTAGGGCAAGGAAAATAGTATTCTGCCAACTTAAGATCACAAGAAGGTTAGAGAACAAGAAGGGCAAGAGCATTATACACTGGCATTGTGCCATTTCAGTGTTCAAATACACAAAGGCCCCAGCCTTTTCTCTGATAATATTTAAGTAGATAAAACCTAACTAAACAGAAGCTCTGGGCCATTCCTGTTAAGTCTTATTCCATTCTTGTCTGATAGCTCTTGGAAGAGCTGCAGATGAGGTGAAAAATACCTGGTGAGGTAGTCCAGAATCTTGTTGTCAGGTTTGACCAGTTCATCCATAACACAGCACCCTCCTTCGGCAACCAGTGAGATACGTGTTAGTTCTCTCCCTTTGGATGTGAGACACTGAAGAGAACAGGATGTAGTCAGACTGTTGAACTGTAGAAGCTATTGCTTCCTCTCTTTATTGACACTATGTCAACTGCCACCTATCCTAATCTACTAGGGTCCTTGTAGCAATGGCACAGACTTTTGCTACTAGAGGGATGTAATATGAGTGAAATTAAAGCTAGGCACCTAGGTTGCTGAATGTTACACTTAAGAGAATCAACACAGTGTAATTTCTCTGGAAAGGATGTGCTCAAGGAAGATGAATGCGAATAATTTAATCACAATCATGTCTACCATTTATGAAGGGTATACTACATCCAGCATTACGCTAAGTAGTACCACTAATAGGTAATTTTTATTAAGCCCATTCTATTATGATCTGGTGCTATACTAAGCATTTTATATATAGCAGCTCATAATAATCTTCTGAGGTAGCCTTAGGTAGAAGGTAAGGTTGAGAAAGTTAGAGGATTTGTCCAAGAGCTACTAACAAGGCAAGGCAAAGATATCCTCATATGTCAGATTCTAAAACTTTAGCTTTTTTTTTTTTTTTTGAGACAGAGCCTCACTTTATTGCCCGGGCTAGAGTGCCGTGGCGTCAGCCTAGTTCACAGCAACCTCAAACTCCTGGGCTCAAGCAATTCTCCTGCCTCAGCCTCCCGAGTAGCTGGGACTACAGGTATGCGCCACCATGTCCAGCTAATTTTTTCTATATATTTTTAGCTGTCCAATTAATTTTTGGTAGAGACGGGGTCTCGCTCTTGCTCAGGCTGGTCTCGAACTCCTGAGCTCAAACGATCCACCCGCCTCAGCCTCCCAGAGTGCTAGGATTACAGGCGTGAGCCACCACGTCCGGCCTAAAACTTTAGCTTTTAGCCACTCCATTAAGAATTCAGAAACTACTTCTTTAGTATTGAGGGAGGATGCACTCATCTTTGAAAGGAAACTTACTAAAATTAGACAAAGTAAAGCCAAGGGGTACTTAGGCAGGGAAATCCTACTTCTGATCTTCAGTATGTAAAACTAAGCAAAACCAATAGTAAGCGAGGCAAAGCCTTCACGGTAACGACAACAAAACATTTGTTCAAAAGAAGGAGTAAACTCCAGTAATGTACAAACACTTGGTTAAACATAGTAACTAGTTAGGAAACATGTTTTCTTTATTCTTCATCCTAGATAGAACACAGATCCAAGTTTTCCAAAATGTCAGTAAAAGGACCTACTTTCGGCTATTTAAACTGAATACTAAAACTGAATGCATTGGTTTACTGGCACATTAGACTCAAGAAATAATCTTCCACTAGACCTTTTTCCAACTGAAAAATCAAAAATATACTTACCATTTCACAGTCAAGTCCAAAGAGAGGACTGTCGTCTGTTATAGAAACACTACATTTGGTAGGTACAAAGTTTTCACAGTCGGGAAAACCTAGAAAGAAAAGGAATAAAATATTTGCCTTTAGAACTACAGATGATAAATATCACTCTTAGATTCATCCAGATAAAACTGAAATACCATATTTGCTGGGCACCTTCTCTATGTCAGATACTTGAAATACAAAGACTAAGAGGCAATCTCTGTCTTTAAGTTTTTCTCCACCCACTTATTTTTATATTCTGAGAGAATAATGTAGGCTGCTGTTAAGTAGGTCCTCGGGCCTGGACTTCCTGGCAGTTACCAAGTAATTTTTCCTCCTGTGAGAAAAGAGATAACTAAATTGTGGCTAAACCCTAAGTCACTAGTCCTTTTTCACGTTGGCACTAAGACAGGATGAATCAAGTATGCAAATAACTGTATGTAGCATCTTTTATTACTAAATAAAGAGAAAATAGGAATAAGATTCCAAGACAGTGGAGATCTAAAAGGATTTCACAGTAAGGAGAACATTTAAGTAACATTGAGTTCCTCCACCCAACTCCAACCTTAAGATTTCTTTGAAATCTCTGTTCAGCGACTTGCCTGCATTTTCTGGAATCACTGCCTGAATATGCCCTACCGAAAGGCTCAACTACAGGCTTAACATACTTCCTCCATTGTGTGCCCTAAGTCAATAACCAGGTATATTCTGCTCATAGAACCAAAAGCATCTGAACTGTAGAAGAGTTCTAAGGCTGAAGAAGTAAATGTAACATCTAGATCTTGTTTGACAAGAAACAAAAGGAGGTATGCAAACCTTTGACCAGTTTGTTTCTCAGTATCCTGAAATTTCCAACTAATTTCTATTAAAAATAATCAAAATATGGTCTAATGCAGAAAAGAAAGGCATCCCCAAATCTGAAAGATACTTTACTTGCTGCCCACCTTATCTATATTATTAGTGGCAAAGATAAAAAATAACTAATGTTTTTTAAGTTCTTATGTGCCAGATACCATGCTAAGTACCTCTTGTACATTAATTCACTTAATCTTTATGGCAATCCTATGATATAAGAACTAACTTTTAACTCCATTTTACAGATGGCATTTTCAATTTATATTAAAAGGAAACTTAGAATATAAAGAACCCCACAGCTCAAAAAGACAGCCCAATTAAAAAATGGACAAAGGATGTGAACGGACATTTCTCCAAAAATATAAATGGCTAACAGGCACATGAAAAGTTGCTCAAAATCATCGGCTAAAAGAAAAATGCAAATCAAAATCACAATGAGATACCGCTTCACACTCATTAAGATGGCTATATTCAAAGATGGATAATAACAAATGTTGGCAAGACTATACAGAAATTGGAAAATTCACATATTGCCGGTGGGAACATAAAATGGTATAGCTGCTTTGGCAAACAGTCTGACAGTTCCTCAAAGGGTTAAACGTTGAGTTACCATATGACCCAGCAATTATGCTCCGAGGTAGATATACCCAAGAGAAATGAAAACATATGTCCACACAAAAAATTTACACTTGAATGCTCATAGCATTATTCATAATAACCAAAAAGTGGAAACAAGCCAAGTAATTATCACCTGATGGATACACTATATCCACACATGTAATATCATTAAGCAATAAAAATAAATAGATAACATAGAAGAACCTTGAAAACATTATGCTACAGATGACATAGATGAACCTTGAAAACATTATGCTAAGTGAAAGATGCCATCACAAAAGACCACAGATTGCACAATTCCATTTATATGAAATATCCAAAATAGGTAAATCTATAGACAGAAAGTATATTAATGGTTGTCTAAGGCTTGGGCAATTGGAAGGAAACAATAGTATGGGATTTGTTTTGGGGAGACAAAAGTGTTCTGAAATTGCGGTGATGGCTATAAAACTCTGTATGCATACTAAAAAATACTGAGTTATATATTTTAAATGGGTATGTTAATTACATTGCAGTTTTTAAAAAGGAAATATAATTATTACTGCTGTAATTAGGAGGTAACGAAGAAAATAAAATGAAATCAAAGTATTTTTATTAAATTCCTGCTATATAACTGACCAAGGTTCTGAGCTCAGACCTGCTCTATTTGTTAAAGAATGCGGGGGTATCATGGGAAGAGGATTATAAGTATTGTAGAAGCAATAAAATGTTAAAGACATATTGACTCTTTTTAATAAACTAAGAAGGAATGAAAGAAAACCAAATGAAAAAGAAAGGGAATAACTTTCTCACTAAATATTTCAATGCTATTTAATGTCATGTTCATGTACTACCTAAAATCATCACTTTACCAATCATGGTATTCCATCACACACTTTGGGGCACACTGTACTTAATATATTTCTTCATTAATATAATAGAAGATGAAATAAGTAAAACTAAGGCATTCAGAAAGCAGACAGAAAAATAAACTTTCATAGTAGTATTTTAACAAACTGTTATTAGATATTCCTACACTGTTAGCAATATCAGATTAAGTCTAAGCCAACCTTGTAATGGAAAGTGAAATGTTTTCATTTCCTCCTTTGTCAGAATACATCTGGTCAAGCCCACTTTCTTACAGCCATACTTTTGAATGATGGGGTCATTCTGCAAGTTGCTGTTGGCTTTTGAACTGGCAGAAGGCAAAGACCCTGAAACAAGAACAATTGAACACATATTAAAATGTGTGCTTAAGAACCTTGTAAGACATGTCTCCTAACATCGTGTAGGCTAAGCATGGTGAAGATCAAAAGATTTCTAAGACCCAGCCCCAATTTTTAAGGGACTTGCAATCTCATAGTTATAAAAACACAAATAGAAAATAAGTTCCAAATGGATTAAAACAATAAAGGCTCTTAAAGGGAAAGGAGGGGCCAGGTGCGGTGGCTCACATCTGTAATCCTCACACTCTGGGAGGCCAAGGCAGGAGGATTGCTTGAGTTCAGGATTTTGAGACCAGCCTGAGCAAGAGCGAGACCCCTTCTCTACTGAAATAGAAAAATTAGCAGGGCATCCTGGTGTGTGCATATAGTCCCAGCTACTGGGGACGCTGAGTCAAAAGGATTGCTGAGCCCAGAGTTTGAGGTTGCAGTGAGCTACAATGACACTGCTGCATCCCACCCAGGGCAAAAGAACAAGACTCTGTCTCAAAAAAAAAAAAAAAAAAAAGGGAAAGAAAGAAGAATATACTTCAGGCCAGAGTGCTTAGAGATAGTTCAAAAGAGGAAAGATTAGCTGAATCTTAAAGAAAAGGCAGAATTCAGATAGTATATCGGATCTGTTCTTTATAGTGCCTGCCACTCCCAACAGTCCATTCTAGATAAATACACCCCACTCTCAGCCACCTACTCAAGCTGCACTAGCGTGTTCTTTAAATAGGGGGCACCACTAATTAGATTCAGGGTGTGGGCCTAGCTCGAGAGGGACCCATTTGTAGACTGACCAATGACTTGATGTTCCTTGTCAAGGCATGCTCTCAAAAGGGACAATGGAATTAGCTAAGCTGATCAGACTGCCTGCTTCAAGAATTTTATCTAGAAAACATTGAGAACTAAACAGAAGAGAACAGAAAATATACACAGAGAAGTTGATGCTATGAAAGGGACAGAGAACAGCTATTAGGGGTACTTAGGTTCCTGACGGCTTTCTAGTCCACATGCATTCTTTTTCAAGCAATACGCTCCTTGCTTAAGGTGGCCCAAATGAGTATCTTGCCTTTGCAACCAAAATAGCCAAAGTATCATAAATAGAACAGGGCATTCCAGGTAAGACAGAAATGTAGAAAGCAAACTTGATTCAGCAGTGAGTAGACCAGTAAGGAAGAAAAGAAGGATCTATGTAAGAAAGGAACATAGGAAACAAGGTTGAGAGAGAAAGACACAAATAAATTATAGACCACTACATATGTCAGCTCAAGAGTTTGAAGTTTAGTCTATCATTCAATACATAATTTAGAGCAACAAAAAGTTCCTGAGAATGCAAGTGACATAACCAAAACAGTATTTTAAGAAAGATCAACCTCAAAGATTTGTGAAAAATGGAGTACAGACAGAAACTACAAAAGGCTTTGTAGTCATTCTGACAAAATAATGACTAGCATCTGGATTACGATTATAGAAGGGTTGGAGAAAAAGGGATACATGAAAGAAACGTACACAAGAAAAACTAGCAGGGCATGGTAACAGAATAATTCAATTCAGTCAACAAAATATTTATTTATCACTGCTTATTATATGCCTGGCATTGCTCTAGCCACTAGGAATTCCCCAATGAACAAAACTAACAAAATTCCCCATGGAACTTAAATTCTAGTTGGGAAGTGGACAATAAACATGTAATATATCAGGTGGGGATGTGGGCTATGAAGAAAAGTAAAGGAGGAGAAGGAGGACAGGGAATACTAGGGCAGGAAAAGGGTGATTGTCATATATTTTATACAGGGAAATCAGGAAAGATAGCTCCGATAAAGTTTACATCTGAATAGAGAATTATAGGAGCCAAAGGAATGAGCCATACAGAGAGATTAGGGATGGGAAGCTAAAACAAAAGTAATTCTAAAATTCAAGACTTGTGCTTTAGAGAAAAATGATACTGACAGAAGGAATTCGAAGAGCCCATTATTTGGAGATGAGAAAACTGCTATTAGATGTTATGGCTGACAAGACAGTAGAATATCCAAGAAACAATGTCCAGCAGGCAGTTGAAAATATAGGACTGCAATCTGGAACATCATACCTAGAGATAAAGATATAGGAGTCATACACAGAAGACTGATAGATAAGCTTGGGAAAAACAGATGAATATTCCAAAGGAAGGACTGAAGTGAAGGAAGATCAGAGTGCTATGGACTATGTATTGAGGACTTTGATATTTAGCATGGGAAGATGAAGGGAAATACTTAAGAGGATGGAGAAGTAGCCATAACCCCTATGGCTCCTCAAGGCCTACAAAATAAAATCCAAAGTCTTTAGGCATGGCATTCAAAGCCTACAGGACATGGCCTTAATCTGCCTCTCCAGCCTTGTCTCTCACCACTACCTTCTCCTATTCCCCTCAGCATCCCCAACAAGCTATAATTCTCCAGCATGTCATATTTCTTTTTCCTGATTATACCTTTTATATTAAAACTTGATGCCTTGAGCCTAGGATCTCATAATGCCCACTCTGTGATCTACTTAGAGATGTTTAAAATATAGTGCAGGTCAAATCAAACATAACTGTAGATCAGATATGGGCATCTATTGGAAGGAGAGGGGAATAATGGAAAGGTAGGAAATTAGAAGTCAGACACTGTTGGGACACAGGATAATAGGAAGCACAGTTCTGATGGAGATGGGAAGGAATTAATAGTTACTCCTCATCACTTTTTTATGTCCCCTTAGTGCAATTATTCAGTTATTTATTTCTGAACACAAAAAAGCTATCACTAAACAATATTTAATGTTATTATATGCAATATCCCATCACTCACTAACGCCACCCCCAAAAAAGATCCAGAAGGTTAGCCACAACTTGCTAATAGGACACAACCTACAGTTTGAAAAACACTACTATCATGGATATTTACCTTTTAGCTGGCCAGCATCTAAACCTCCTGCCAGTTCCTCACTGTGAGTAATATTAGCAGGCATCCCTGACATTGGTCAAAGGCAAGATCTTCCTTCCTACCTGTACACTAGTGGGTACAAAGACCCAGTAACAGTTTAGAAATTATTCATAGTAATTCATAAGAGTTCGATGGCAGTCATATCCAGGTATCCTTAGCAATCTAACTTAACCAAATAGGTTCCCCCCCACACACACACACACACAAATCATGGGGCTGCAAACCAAATGGTTTCTGAGGCATAAACCCTGGACTGTGGTTCCTGCTGTCTAACCTCCCTGGGTACCTGCCCATTTTTTCCTTAAAAAAATTGTTTTTATGCTTAAGTTAGTTCCAATTGGGTTTTGCTGCTTGAAACTATAAACTTGACTGATAAACCTAGTTAAACCATATCCGTAACATCTTTTAGAATGAACACATCATCTAATCAGGGTCATGGCCCTACCTTCCATCATCTTGGGCAGATCTCCAGTTGTTTGCTTCTTTTGTAGCCCAATGATATCAGCTAGAAAATTAGATGATGGAGGAGGCAAGAGGAACTTCTGAAAATATATTAATGGGTTTTATATTAAATGCCTGAAAGCAATTAAAATACTGTGAAAAGTCTGGACTTTTATAGTCAGCTTAGTGCTATGAAAAGAAAGGTCTAGACAACAGTTATTTGCATTATAAAATTAGAACTGTTTCTTTAATATGGAAAAGTAGCTAGGTAAATGAAGCCACATTTACCACTCCCCACCCCTCGAAATTTTCTTTGCTTCTTGGATTACACATTGTAAAAAGGACAAACTTTACAAAAATGTACAACTTAGACAAGGAAAGTCCCTTATATTTTTCAAAGCACTTCCATATCTATTATTTCATTGGACAGCATGCCATGCAGTCAGGACAGATGATGCTACATGGCAAAAAGGTTGAGTTCTCCAGCCTCAGGCTTACCTGGGCTTAAATTCCAGCTCCACCATTTACTAACTGTAACTAGGGCAAGTTACTCATTTTCTTATGTATAAAATGGAAACAAAAATATCTAGCTCTTACAGGACTATAAGAGATGATGCACATAGCATGCTATCCATGATTAATATAGGGCCTGGCACACAGGAAGTGCTCAATAAATGAAAGCGAAAAGAAAAGGGTGACCCAGGGAGATTAAATTAGGGCTCACCAACTCAAACACTTTCAGGGATAAATGTATGAAACAAGCCAATAGGTAATGAAGGAGGATACGGGAAAACGGAGGGCACATGTCTCTTTATAAACATGACAGCTGCTATTCAGCTCCATATACTAAGGGTGCCCAATCTTGTGATTTTTTTTCTGGAGAGGTATAAAAACATAGAGTTTATGTAAATTTTATAATTTCTGAAAACACCATAGCCCAAATAAAATAGAACAGTAATAACCTGGGAACTACATATTATAATCTGGGAATAAGTGTTTTGCCTAGATTACCAGAGACAAATCTCATTTCAACATGAGCCAATTGTATCTTAGATCTTTTGCTTTCTACATCTCCTATTGCTTGTTCAATAGCATTACCAAGGAGCATGGTCCCAGGCATATGTACTAGTTTCAGGATGAGAGGACCTAACTCAACCCCTAATACAAAATTTTCATAACTTACATGTCTGAATACCTTTCGGAGAAATCCAAACTCCAAATAGAACCTGTAGAAGTGTAGGTGACTCATTCCCTGCAGAACAAAAACCACCACGTTGTTCACGTGGTTTTGGTGAAAAAGCTGGCACCAGCTGTTGAAAAATCAAACCAACACAACTAAGAGTGATGCCCTCAAGTCACTTATAGGCATACAGAAAGCAAATGTGGAAAAAAAAACAGTGAGTGACCACTAACAGAATTTATCATAACTCACTGATTGTCTGGAACTGGAAGACAGCCATTACTGCACAGAATTCAAATAAAGACCTCTTGAAACAAATATTTGTTCCACTTAAGTTAAATAAAAACAAAATGCAACGTATTTAAATGTATTTAAATCCATTGTCCTATTAAAATTTGTTTTAAATCAGAACTAAGATCACTTTACAAAGACTCATCTCCAAAATCCCAACCTACTCTGCAGCCCTTCCTAAGCCAGGTAATCAAATGGCTGGCTTCAAAAAATTCAGTTTTGGATAAAATAACAGAATAATGGCAGTATCTATTGATACAGAAGATGGCTTTTGAACTATCTAGCCAATTCATAACAACTTCCCCTAGAAAAATGTGTACACTTGAAATCTCAAGTTGGGTACGGTGGTGCGCACCTGTAATCCCAGCTACTTAGGGGATGAGGAGGGAGGACTGCTTGAGCCCAGGAGTTTGAGACCAACCTGGGCAACATGGTAAGACCCCATCTTAAAAAAAAAAAGAAAATCTCTTTATTGGTACATATACATAAAACAATTTTCATAAGACACTTAATAATGGCATTGACAATATCAGAACAGTAAAATTCTCTCTTTGCCCTTCAATTGTAAAAGAAAAAAGAAAAGATTGACTAGAATTCTTAACCTATCATCATGTTATTTTAACTAGGTCTGTACTGGGGGAAGCAAACTAAAATACCTATAGTAGCCAGACAGATACTGTAAATAAGGGAAGCAGGCCAAGTAGGACATTGGCATATACATGCCCCATGTAAAGAGAGAGGCCACCACTCAGCTTTGACAAATTATTGCCATGTAGGAATAAAGGGACAACTGCCAGATCTTTGGGTTTTTTGAAGAAGTCAAAAATCTGGATTTTTTTTTTTACAGGAATTCCCAGATTTAACTGTTAGCAGCCATCACAAAAAAAGAAAATTTAGGACATGCTACATGGCAAAAATAATGTCAATAAGCCAGACATGGTCCTCTAGACACCAGTTTGAACCTCTGGTTTATACCCACCATATAAGTTCATCCCATACCTGGGTTTAGGAATACTGGATTTGCCCAGAACTGCATATTTCAGCAATTCACATAGCTGGCCATGGGTTACTTCACAGTTATCAGCAAATAAAATGGTAGATAAGCGGGCTTTCTGTAAAGATAAAACAGGACATAGCAAACATGATTGTCTAGAATAGCAACAAAGCGAGGCAAATTATTATTCTAGTTTCTGATTATTTTAACATATAGGTATATCCAAACATTAAGGAGTGTTCTAATTAATTGAAAATGAAGGTCTAAAACAACTACCTGCTGTATGACATTATTAATAGGATATTTAACAAACATTGATACAGAACCTGAATTATAGATACTTGGTTACATGCTAGAAATAGTAGGAGGAATAAAACACAATTCATGCTCTCAAGGAGTCCATTCTACAATGGGGGAAAAAAATGCAAGAATAGGTAATTCTACTAATTCTAACCCAGTGTTGGTAAGTGCTATTACAAAGGTATGAGAGCAAATAGGCTAACTGCCTATGGGGTCAGAGTGTTTGGGGGTAGCTACTGAGATGAAAAAATAGTGGAGCTGTGCCTTAATAAGGAGTCTACCAGGTTGGAGGGAACATTGTCTTCAAATCTGTAGTTTGGTTTGGCTAGAGCCAAGACATGTTGTAGAGTAGCAGAGGTGTGAGGAGAAGGAAGCAGCAGCCAGATCACAGATCAATGTGGTCTAAGCTAAGGAGTCAGAATTTATTCCAGGGCAACAGGGAGCTCAATGAAGCTCTCTCCACCCTCCTTAAAAAGGCTTTATTTACACCTATATCTGTTATTTAAGTAGTTAATGCTTTTTATAAGACTCAGATGAGAAACATAAAATAGATAAAAGATACACAATAGATAAATGAAAGTAAGTCACCTCTACAACTCGAGATAATTACCATTTTCATTTTAGTCTGGGAGGCAGCAGAGTATAGCAGTTAAGAGCTCAAGCCCTAATTTCAGGGGCAGGGAAAGCACATATGCACCTGGAATAATACCTTTTTATGCCAGAAAGTAATGAAATGCTCAAAGAATGATGGGTCATACAAAAAGATGCAGAAGCTAGCTTAATCACAAAATCTTGGCTATTTAGAGAAATACAATAAATAATAGATTATAACACATTGAACAAAATTAAGTATCATTGAGCAAATAAAAGTAAATAAATAAATTGAAAAGTGTAATGAGGATGCACCTCTCATGAAAATACGAAGAGAAAAACAGAACTTTAGAGAAGTTTAGCAGACACCATCTTAATCAATCAAGGCTAATATCACCAAAAATGGAACAAATCAAAATCATGTATAATCTGCAAAAGATTAGAGTATCACTTCTGTGATATTCATGCTGAAGATGTATAACCTAAATTTACTCAATAAAGAAACGGACAAAGCTAACTTGAGGGAAATTCTACAAAATAACTGGCCCAGGATTCCTTAAAAGCAGTAAGGTCAGGCCAGGTGCGATGGCTCACACATGTAATCTTAGCACTCTGGAGGCTGAAGTGAGAGGATTGCTTGAGCTCAGGAGTTTGAGAGCAGCCTGAGCCAGAGTAAGATCCCCATCTCTACAAAAAAATAGAAAAATTAGCTGGGCGTGGTGGTGTGCACCTGTAGCCCCAGCTACTTGGGAAGCTGTGAGGTAATGAATGTCAAGGAATGGCTCAGGAACTGTTTGGATTGAAGGAGACATAACAACTAAATTTAACATGATTCTAGACTGGACCCTACTGCTAAAATGGATTACTCAAACAACTAGAGAAAACTTGAATGAGATCTGAATAGTAGATGGTACCAGTACATCCATGTTAATTTCCCGACTTCGATGGTTGCATTGTGATTACGTAGGATTGTTTATAGGAAATATACACTAAAATATTTAGGCGTGCAGACAGGAACAGAACATTGTGTCAGTAACTACTTTTAAATGTTGGCTGGGGTTCAAGATCAGCCTAAGCAACATAACAAGACCCCATCTCTACAAAAAAATTTTAAAAATTAACCAGGCATGCTGGCACACGCCTATAGTCCCAGCTACTTGGGAGGCTGAGGCAGGAAGATCGCTTAAGCCCAGGAGTTTGAGGCTGTGGTGAGCTATGATGACATCACTGCACTGTAGCCCAGGCAACAGAGCAAGATGCTGTCTCTAAAAAAAATAACATTGGCTGGGAGGAGTCTTTTGTACTCGTCTTGCAACTTTTCTTTAAATTTGAGAATGTTTCAAAACAAAAAAAGTGTTGACTTCCTAATCCAAGAATTGTGGGGTTGAGTCCCACCTGGGGTACCAAAACAAAATAAATTAAAAATAAACTAAAAATGGCAGGGTGCAGTGGATTATGCCTGTAATCCCAGTGACCAGAGAGGCTGAGGCAGAAGGCTCGCTTGAGGCCAGGAGCTGAGACCAGCCTGGCAACATAGACCTTAACTCTAAATAAATAAATAAATAAATAGACCAATAGGTAGAGAAATAAACAAGTAAAAGAGATTGTCATCTCCTTATACTTTTCATTACATTAACATTTAAATATATTTTTGCCAATCTGATAGGCAAAAAAATGGAATTCTATTTTTTTTCAGGTTGTGATTCCCTGGTTGAATGGAATTCTATTTAAGAAAAAAATTTTTCATAGCCCTAATCCCCTTCTAACATACTATATAACTTATTTATCATTACCTATTTTATCACCTGTCTGTCCACTAGAACATAAGCCCTATTAGAGGAGTTATCTTTGTTTAATCACTAATGTACCCCAGTGCCTATGTCAGTGTCCGGCACATGGCAGACAATAAGAAACTGATGAATGCCTGAAGGGATGAATGAAGTATATATAGCTCTCAATAAATGGCAGGGATGATGATCAGCCTTATCACTCCCCTGCCAGAATGTATATCGCACAAGGGCAGGGAATTTTGTGTTTCCCTGCACTGGGTTATCCCTAGAACGTAAAACAATTCTATTTGTTAAATGAACATTCCTATTACGTTCAAGGTACTATACCAGTTTTAAACCGCCAATAACAGCCCCGAAGTAGGTGGTGTTCTATTGATCGTTTCCATTTACAGATCAGAGAGTAGGTTCGGAGAGGCCAGTGAATGGGTGAGCCTGACCACGTCCAGGGACCCCGGAAGGCGGTTGGGATGAGGGTCTGGGAGTTCCAAACCGCCTTGGGCCGCCTCCTTGGGCTCCCCTTTGCTCACCTTGGCCTCGGGCTGCCTCTCCTCGAGATCCCGACCGGCTCTCATCGCCTCGGCGGCCCCGCCCAGCCTGTTCGGGGCCCGCCTCCTCTTCCTGACCTTGTTGGGGTGCCTCTCGGTCCTTTCCTTTTCTGGCTCCATGAGGCTGTGGAGAAAGCGCAGCTAGAGCTGAGGAAACCGGCAGACCGTCTCCCGAGGGGAGACCAGCAAGGGCCGGACAGCTTATAACCTCCCTGGGATCCGCTCCTCCATTCACAGTTTACAGAGCCGTCCCCGCCCCCCCAGAATGCGAAGGTGCCAACGATCTTCCCCGCCGTCCGCACCGCACTAAGCCAAACGGCTTTACCATCCGCGTCAGAGGCCGAATTCGAAACGGCTCCCCAACGGCAACAACGCGCCTCCGCCCACCGGCAAAGAGGGAAAGGGGTGCTGCCAAGCGGCTCCCCGGCCTGAAACAACTCCTCACACCCCTAAGCCCCGGAAACGCAGAACAGGAGCCGGGAGGAGAGCAAAAGAAGTCGCCGCCTCAGCCGCCGTAGCGTCCTCCTCAGCCGCGCCGGGCGTTTGAATGAACCGGAAGTGGGAGTCGAGCGACTTCCGGCAGTTGGATTGCGAACTGCAAGGAGTGACGCGAATGGCGACCAAACGGCTGGCGCGGTACGTGAGGGGATTCTGCGCGGGTGCTCGCTCCTGGTCCGGTGCTGGCGTCCGCGTCAGGGCTGGGTACATGGCGTTGCGGTGGCATCCTACATTCTCCGCACCCCGGAGTCTCTAGCTTGGGCAGAAAGGCCCCTGCCTGGATCTCGGTTGCGAGCCTCGGGTGGAAGGAGCTCGAGGCTGAGGAACCTGAGGTTCTTGACTGTGTGGCCTTGAGCCAATGTCTGCCCATTCTAGGCCTCGGGAGACGACTGGACGTGACAGTGCCCTGTAGACTGGTCGGAGGTCCCAGGCAGCACATCAAGCCGTTCACCCCACCACCTCCTAGTTGTCTGTTTAATTCATAATACAAATCGTGACTTTCTCCCTGATTTCCTGGACATGCCATTCACATTTCTGATTTCTAGAGGCAATGCAATGTATTAGTGAATAGCGAGGGAGGCAGAGTGGGACAATGCTGGGCTGACATACCAAAGCTGTGTTCTTTGGCAAATTCACTGAATTACTTTTCTCATCCGTTAAATATAGGTAGCAAAATTTTGTCTACTTCCTACAGTTGTTGAGTAGATAAGGTCACCATCTATCTTAGCTTTTTGAACCTGCAGCCTTAAGGCCACATGTGGCCCTCTGGATCCTTAAGTGCAGCCTTTTGAATCCAAATTGTACAGAACAAATCCTTTATTAAAAGGGGTGCAGTAGAGAAAGATGAAGCTTTTCTTGCCTCCTTTGGTGCTTAAAAAAGAAATCAGAAGGTGGCGGGTTCCCTACCACTGGAAGTACCTGCTATGTAGTAAGCAATAAATGCTAGCTGTTACTATTCCCAAATCCTGGTTCTTCCCTATCACCTCTTAAACAAAAAACCACAACAGGAGGTGTCTGCCTGGTTAAAACTCTATCTACTCATCAAAGTTCTTTGCCTCACCTGCACTAAAGGCTGCACTTAGGACCTCTGTAAGCTCTTCCCTTTCTTTGGACTCTAGCATATTGCCTTTGGGGTTCCTTTATCAGAGATTACTTTGCAGTGGTTCCATGGATATCGTGTTTCTTTACTCAGATTTTTAAGTTAGAAGACTGAACCACACGCTCTGTTGTTTTATTTCCTTAGAACTGTGCTGTACATGTAGCGAGGGCTTCAAAAATGCAACGGCAAAAATACTGTAAACTTTTTGGTGCATTTTTACCTTTGTAATCATTTGGGTCAGGATTACTGTGTTAAAAGACAGACTTTAGGCACATTAAATTCAACAGAGTTTAATTGAACAAAGAATCGCAAATGAGGCAGTCCCCCAACCAGAACAGGTTCAGAGTGACCCCAGTGTACTGCTGGCATGGTGGAGAGGATTTATGGACAGAAAACAGAAGTGAGATTATGGCCAGATTGGTTTCAGCTTGGCGTTTGCCTTATGTAGAACAAGGTTTGAACAGTTGGCTGCCTGTAATTGGGCAAAACTCAGTGATTGGTACAGCAGTCAGTTACAGTTTGTTTACATAGCCAATCAGGTTACGGCTCACTATATACGAAAAAATCTTGAGTCCAAGGTTAAAATATTTAAGGAGGCAACTTTAGGCAAAACCTACTTTAACAACTGTAAAATAAGTGGAGGAGGTACAGTTAGCCTAAGTTTGCAAATACATATTTTTGAGGCCCATGCAGATAAACCCAAAGTCTAGTTCAATTTCCTCTCAGTCACAATACATTAATAAAGAGAGTTTTGCTGTATCCCCGGTACCATTAGTTTGGTAGTCTATTCAAACAGGAGTGTGAATGAATTCATTGATCATATTGGATTGTTTTACATTTTTAGGCAGCTTGGATTAATTAGGAGAAAGTCAATTGCACCAGCAAATGGAAATCTAGAAAGAAGTAAATCCAGTAAGTAGTGTGCTTAGTTTCTTTACGTTTTTAGCCTTGCACTTTCAACATTGGTAAAGAATAAATACACCTTGATCTTTTGCAGAGCAGTTGTTTGACTACTTAATTGTCATTGACTTTGAGTCGACATGCTGGAATGATGGGAAGTGCCACCGTAGCCAGGAAATAAGTAAGTCAGGACTGCCAATACCAAAGCTAGCACTAGATGAGTCTCTTTAAAGTTTATAGACATAAACCAAACAATAGTTGTAAGAAAACAAGATGATCTGTGATTTGGTAGTTTAATATAAAACCTGTCTTAACTAAAAAAGAAGAAATCCCAAATATCTAAATGTGTCATTATATAAAATAATTGTTTTAGGATTACATACAAAACCTCAATGGCATAGAAACTGAAAAAAATACCTTTGCAAAAAAGGAGCGCATTTCAAATTCCGTATGATCTTTAGATTTAATTGTATTAAGAGGTTTTTTTTAGTAGATATAACTTCAATATTTTGACTTATTCTTTGGTATAACTCTATTATAACCTTTACATCATACTGCTTTGGTCATTTTAATATGCTTTTACTGAAACTGTTTAATAATGCCATTATGATGGTAATATATGTAATTTAGGGTGATTACAGCATTAATTTAAAAGTTATATGTACTCATGTTCAAGTGTCAATTGATAATTCTTTCATTTAGTTGAATTTCCAGCGGTATTGTTGAACACATCAACTGGAGACATTGAATCTGAGTTCCATGCTTATGTTCAGCCTCAGGAATATCCAGTTCTTTCAGAATTTTGCATGGAACTGACAGGCATAAAGCAGGTATGATGCAAATTTTAAAATTCAGTAAATCAGTTTCAAAAAGAAAATAAAAGCTATATACCATTTGGAATTAGATTTTTTTCAGTGTTAGGAGAAGTAATTTACCCTCCAGAAGTCTATTGGAATCTTTAAAAATTAGAATGAATAGTGTTATTTGGGATTCAGGAATAGATAAAAAAAAAAAAAAGAATAGTGTTATAAAAATGATAAAATTTATTTTACAGAAATTAAATGAATCAAATTTGTCTTTTATTTCTGTCAGTCTAGATTTTTTTTTTTTTTTTGGTCAGTCTAGATTTAATGATTATATTTTTGTGTGGTTTTAGATTTATCAACCTGAATTTTCGTACCTTGGCAAGCTCTCATCATTATTTCTCTCCCTTGTGTTTTAACATCTTTTCACAAGCTAAACTCTTTGCCAGTTAGAACCTCTTTGTTATATCCTTTCACAGTGCCTACCCTATTATAATATGTGCTCAATAATTATGGAATTGATTGTTGAATTCCAATTTTGTGACTCTCTTCAGGCACAAGTTGATGAAGGGGCCCCTCTGAAGATTTGCTTATCTCAGTTCTGTAAATGGATTCAAAAGATTCAGCAACAGAAGAAAGTTATTTTTGCTACTGGGGTTTCAGAGCCTTCTACTTCTGACGTAAAATTATGTGCATTTGTTACTTGGTCAGGTAAAAAAATAAGTTATACCTATCAAATCACAAATGGGTTGAATTAACACTATGTAATGCTTTATTTGTAGTTTTATACTTACTAACCTAGAATTATACTTCCTAACTTCCTGGACAAGGTAAAGAAATCCAAGTGCCTAGCAGATGTTAACCAAGAAAAGTAAATTCATATTTTTAAAATTACCATTCTGGGATATGTTAAAATTTTAAGCCTTAACTTTAAGAATCAGAAAGATTTTCTACTCCTTTCTTCTGACTCCAGACAAAGATGATTTAGTAAAAACTCTTATTATGTTATTTCCTACAGCCTTGAATAAAAAGAGTCTTCGTTCAGCTTACATCGTTTGCTTTTATATTTTGATACTTACAAATGTAGACATCAAGAAAAAAATGGGCCATTTAAAGTAGGTCTTTTGTATGACTGTGATATAGCATTGCCATTAATAGTCATTGATAGCACAACCATGCCATTGATAGCATAGCACTGATAGTCTTATTTGGTTTCCAGTTACTAAATGTTTGGTTTCTCAATTATATTATTTAAAAATATTTTCCTAGACTACAGGAAATATAAGCCTTGTAATTTAATACTTTATTCTTTCTGAAATAGGGGGTTTTTTTTGGGATTTTAAAAAAATCATTTTGAGACTTAGTTTCATGATTAAAAACTTAGTTTCTTAATATTAAGTTATGTAAAGTGAATAATTTTTAGATATTAGCAGAGCAACTAAATCTTACTGTTCTATTTTATATCATCTTCCAACATTCTATTTGTAAATGGTGGCAGCATAAGTAAAAAATGCTGTCATAATTGATTTTGTCCTATTTTAATATACTTAATACAGACTGGGACTTGGGGGTTTGCCTGGAGTATGAGTGTAAAAGAAAACAGCTGTTAAAACCTGTGTTCTTAAATTCTTGGATTGATCTCAGAGCAACTTACAAGGTAACAGCCAAAGATGGGGGCATGTTCACTTTCCTTCTTTTGAAAAATTAGTAAATTTTATCACACATGGGTACGCGTTTCTACAAATAAGATTTTTTTCTGAATGTTCACATAAATACATTTCTTAAAGTATTTAAAAACAATACAACAGGCCGGGTGCAATGGCTCACGCCTGTAATCCTAGCACTGTAGGAGGCTGGGGCGGGTGGATCGCTCGTCTCTACTAAAAATAGAAAGAAATTATCTGGACAACTAAAAAAATATATATAGAAAAAATTAGCCGGGCATGGTGGCGCATGCCTGTAGTCCCACCTACCCCGGAGGCTGAGGCAGGAGGATCGCTTGAGCCCAGGAGTTTGAGGTTGCTGTGAGCTAGGCTGACGCCACAGCACTCTAGCCAGGGCAACAGAGCCAGACTCTATCTCAAAAAAAAAAAAAAAAATTAAAAAAAATAAAAACAATACAACAAAAATGAGCGCATTCCAAATCTAATAGAACTAAAAATTATCAAAAGTGGTTAACACATAGCCTTTCAAATAGTAATTATTTTTTTAGATATGTCTTCTTTTATTTGATCAGCTTTTCTATAGGAGAAAACCAAAAGGACTAAGTGGTGCCTTGCAGGAAGTGGGGATAGAATTCTCAGGACGAGAACATTCTGGTTAGTATAAATTAAAAATCATTTTATTATGTAAGTCATTTGGCTTTTATAAAATCTTCCAGATGCATTTCATTTTTTGGTAATGTCATTAATAAGAGATATCCTTCAATGTAAAAACAACCCCCTAATCTATACAATTCAAATTGTTTCTAAAACTTTCAAATTATCACTTTTCATAAACTATTCTTAAGATAAAGATTGCCATCTAGTGGATTTCTAGTTGCTAAAGAGAATGAAAGGAATTAGCCAAACCAAAAGGGAGACTACAGTGCCCAAATGATACAGTGGCCTACTGAAAAACTGAACAAGACTATTAGATTGCTCACAAATCATAGTCCCTACAGAATGTTGGTCACATGTTAGGGAATTGTCTAACAACTTTTCACATCTTCCTCTGTAAACGTAGATCTTGTTTTTCATTGGTAATGCTGCCACAGCTTTCCACAAAACCAGTTTATCATGATTAAAATAAATAGATGGTCATAAAACTAACACTATGCCCCAGTTTCTAAGTGGTGATTTTTTTGCTGTTTTTTTTTTTATACTAGTACCATTAGATTCAGTGTTTGATATCTGTTTTCTCAGGGTTGGATGATTCTCGGAATACTGCCTTTCTTGCTTGGAAAATGATCAGGGATGGTTGCCTAATGAAAATTACAAGGTCCTTGAACAAGGTTAGTGGTGTCTTGCCTCTATTCTGTCATCTCAGACTCCAGAAGTAGTCATAGGTTCATTGAAATATAGATTGCATGTGTGAAATCATTTATAAATCAATGACATTTTTCTTTTTTGTCATATAATGTGTACTGAAGAAATTATGAATGTACAGTATGTAAAGCTGTTGGATTTGTCTATGGAATCATAGGTTTCCACTAAGAAGATTCCCAGCATTATGGCCAGAAATTTGAATACAAATGAAATTGAAGAAACATCTGCCTGCAACATTAGCATACAGGGTCCCAGCATATATGATGGGGAGCCTAAAAATACAATAAATTCTCATGAAAAAGTTCAAATGGAGTCAATTTGTGCAAATTCTCCCGTACAGCAGGATCAATTACAAGTAAAGACTGTAAAAGCAGGTCTTCACAATGTCAAAAGCTGCTTGTCTCTTTTTAATATGAAGTCCTCTACTTCTCTGGGGCAGTTGCAGTCTCCTACCTTGAATTCACCCATCTATATACAAAAGCAAAGAAAAAATGAACATCTTGCAGTTAATACCAAATCTAAGTCTTCAATAGGTTCAGAGTTGGTACTTGTTTCTACCACCATTTCATCTGTTAATCATGTTTCTGATATGGAAATGAGTTCTGCTCTTGACTGTTTACCTATGTTGACTGATTGGGAGGATGTAGTTTTACTGCCTGCCTCTCAGCCTGAGCAAAATATGGATTGTACAATTCCCATTAGTGACTCAGATACTTCATTTAATTCTGGAGAAAGATTAATGGTTTTAAAAGAATCAGAAATGCTAAGTTGTGAAAACTTGGGAGGCATAGAAGAAACTCCTCAAAAATCTGAGACTTCTAAGTCTATTGTGTATAAGAGTCCTCATACTACTATTTATAATATAAAACAAGCTAAAGATTCAGATTCAGATGTTTTTGCCTTTAAGTTACCTGAACACAAATCAACTACCTTCAACAGTGTTAATGCCAATGCAGCTCATCCTTTAGTTTTGGGGAAATATCCTCTTCTCTTAGGTGGTACTAAAAGGAATCCATCCGATCCCCCAGCATTTCCACCAGCAAAAAAACAAACCTTCAGTATTCATGAAGAAAAGCCTACATCATCCGATTGCCTCCCAGTAAGAAGTTCTTCCCGGAAGGTTCTCCCCTCTATTTTAACATCTACGGTTAACCTACAAGAGCCTTGGAAGAATGGGAAAGTGACACCTCCCTTATGCAAGTGTGGCCGAAGATCTAAGAGACTGGTTGTTTCTAATAATGGACCAAACCATGGAAAAGTCTTCTATTGTTGCCCTATTGGGAAATACCAAGAAAACAGAAAATGTTGTGGTTATTTCAAATGGGAACAAACACTTCAAAAGGAAAAAGCCAACAGGGTAGTTCTATCTAATTCTACAGAGGGACTCACTTTTAGTTCTCCAGAAACAAGCCATATTCATGACAGAAATTTAAGTTTTTCCACTAAAAATTCTTTGAGACTCAGGCCTTCAATGAGGAATTGATAAACTTTCATGTATGAATCCTAATTGTTCCTTGAATTCCCAAACGTGAATATTATGGTAATGTTTTACACTATTTATATTTCATATATTAATGGTTGGCGAATTTATCATACTTTCTTAAAGAACCACAAATGAAATATTTTGTAAACTGTATTTATTATTAATAGGTTCAATATAATAAGCAACAAGGACTGATATCCTTCTTTTATAGTTTGGCCTTGAAACAAGTCTTAAACTATTTTTAAATTATTTGAACAAAAATGTGATAAAAATTCCTAGTTTATTTTCAAGTAGATACTTGTACTTTGAGAATTACAGTAATCTTCTAACTAATATTTTTTACTTTTCTAAAAACTTCTGTAAGTTGTTTAGTTTTACTTCATGGCTTGAACATAGGTTCTGACTTGTATATCAACATATCAGAAGAATTATTTGAGTAAAGTTTGAAAATCAATGGGACAGAGATTTGGTTCAGAAAATCCTCCTACACTATACGTTTAAAAATTCCTCAGCAATTGATGGCATTCTTTTTATATTAACAAATTATAGTAACATTGACACTAACGCACAGGGATTTACCAAATATTTCATTTTAAAATTCAGCCCTGATGTCATAACCACAAGAAATTTTAAATCAATGGTTGCTAAGCATACTACCACATTTTTTTATCTTGCAGTTTCTACAGATTTATAGATACAATATTTGTTTTATAGATACCATAATAATTAATGGAATGAATCTAAACTATTTTCCATTCTTTCTTCCTTAGTTCATTTCTTTTTATCTTCCCACTGACAGTCTTTGGCAGCTCTGGAATAAATTCTACCTGTTGATATCAAGGAGAAGAAAGTTAACCCAGAGTTTTCATCTTTAGATAAAAGCCAATTATATTGCAGTTATTTGAATTCTGGGTGAAAGAATTAGGGCACCCACTGGGGGTAGGTTTTGAGTAACAATCAAAAAAGGGATGGGGAGGAATTGTCGAGGAGATTTTTCTTGATATTTAGTATTTGCTACAAGTCCAGCAAACCAAATGACCAAACAAATTAGGTTAGTGGTTTCATTTTAATTTCAAAGATTCTTATTCTTATCTATATGTCATTAGTTCAGTTTGGAACATTTGGTGTAGCATGTTTGAAGAGAATATTCATTAAAAGGAAAAAATAAACAGCTGAAATTTTCTAGAATTCTGAGAAAATATTCATTATAATTAGAATGCCTACCTTTCTGGGATATTTGTAAGGTGCTGTAGTTTTTTTTACATGCTCCTGAATCTCCTTTTTAAGTTGTTCTTGATCATGTGACTCGTAATCAGGGTTCAGAACAATAAAAGCCTTTACTACCTAAAATAAATATTTGAAACACCAAGAAGATGAGTTATGTATTTTTATGTTTTAGTATGGCTTATTTGCTTCCTTTAACTGGGAATCTAAGTGCCCGGTGGGGTGGGCCAGAGTGTTTAACAGAATTTGCTCCCCGATGCCACCCTGATATCTGATGCCAGCCCATCTTCCTCAACTATACCAGGGACGTTGTTGGTTTCCAGACTTTCTGGGTAACAACTTGACTCTATCCAGCTGACTTCTGGCATCCCATCCTGATGTGCGCCTGGGTTATTGGCATTCACGCTATCTTTGCCCCACTCCTCCATGGAAAGGATTCACATTCTTTCTAATATATATTTTTCAGTCTTATTCAGTAGCAGTATTTTCCGAGTAGCATATTTCTATCTGACTTGCATTTAGTAAATGAATTTCTATCTGACTTGCATTTTAGTGAATGAATCATTTGGGCAATTCTGTTTCAGTGAATTACTGTTTAAAAGCATGCATTAGATTGCCAACAAATTATAAAGTTGAGATGAATCAGGTCTTTTACCTCTCCTCTGATGGGGTCTGGACTGCTGACAACAGCTGACTCTGCAACCGAAGGGTGCTCAATCAAGGCACTTTCTACTTCAAATGGTCCAATTCGGTAACTAGGAAGGCATATGGCAGTAATTTATAAAGGTGAGCAGTTCGTTCCAGAACGCTGATGATCAGTTAACATAGACATGCAAAAATGGAAAAGAAAATTACCCAGAAGATAATATGATATCATCTGATCTTGCAACAAACCAGAAATATCCATCTTTATCCATATACCCTCTGTCCCCAGTGATATAGAAATTGCCTCGTAGAGTTGAAGCTGTTTTTGAAGGATTATCCTGCAAAACAAATAGTATTTTGTTAATATTATTATGAATCTGACAATTATGATCAATTAGATTTTTAAATGTTCAAGGAAAAGGAAAATTTTGGCTCTTTTGAGAAGGCTTAGAATGAAGAAGAGCCAGAGTGTGAAATAGGGATGAAATCCCAGTGTGGAGCTAGCCCAACAGAAGAAAGGTAAACTAGAAAGACTACACATGCTTCCATCCTGAGAATTTTTTTAGATGGATCACAAAATAAGTATTGTAGGATCTCAGAGCATTAGGCTAAATTAAATCTTTTGCTAATTGATTAATATCTAAAGCTGGTAGGAAAAGAGAAGTGAATACTCCAAGTTATAAGAAAGCACCGACACCTAATAATTCAAAAAGCAGACAGTTTGTGTTGGCTTTTGTTTTGTTTTACATAAAAACAAATGATTCTATAACTCTGGTATAAGGAAAATGAATGAAATATTATTCACTGGCAAGAAGAATCTGAACCTGTTATTATATTGATGAAGACTTTGCTGTAACTTGTATATTGTGATTAGAGATGAAAATCTGCTTGCAAACATTAAGGAGCTCAGAAAGCCTCTAGTGAAAGAAATTTACTTAATCCCACTGCCCCATTCTCCATTCCTCTCCCTCCTCTCCAGAATGGAGAACACTGATCAAATTTCAGAAAAATGAGTGTGTTTTGTTTGGTAATTGAGACGATCAACGGATGTTAACAGGTTGCCTCCTTTTTATGGTTCTTTTCTTTTTGCCTCTGGGCTTGGAACAGTGATGTAGCCTCAGGCAATCAGCATGATCTTTAGGAAGCATTTGGGTGTTTCTTCGATTACCTGTCTGTGGGATTACTATTCAGGACAATGAACCTCTCAATAAAGGGCCAAGTACCTAGCTTGGTGTGTTTTGTAGCAAATAGGGATAGTTACTGCAAGGTGACCTTACTAATAACCTATCTAAGAGAAAAATAAACTCCAAACAGAAGGTAAGGAAAATAAACTCACAACATATAATTGTCCCTTTAAAGAAAAAAACAACACAATTACCCCCTTTGTTTTGTTTAATTAAAACACCTGAGGCCTAACTCATTTTCTCAGCCTTGAAGAGCCCTAAGCGGACAGTAGGGGTGCAAACTCCCCTCTCCAGCTTTCTGCCTCAGTTCCTGTCAGCAACACATTTCAAGGACTCAGATAACCTGGCCTAACAGAAAAAAGAGAAAAAATAAAGAACAGCTTTGCAGGTGCTTCTGTTATCAGTCTCCAACAAAGAAAAAACAACTATTTTTACCTTTTAAAAGCCAGAACAGCTTTTCCTCAACTGCCAACACCTTTCTACCTTTGTTCTTACCATGCCATTTTCTTTCTCTTCCTCTTTCTCCCTCTCTTTCTCTCTCTTTTTACATCTTTATATCCTAATCTTTGTGTGAAAAATCTGTCTCTGCCCACATAGGCATTTCACACTCTTTCAGTTACCAAGCATTTTTGAGAAATAAATAGAAAATAAGAGATTATTTATTAATAATAAGTCTCTTACTACATAATGAGTAAAAAGGCCAAATGGTCGGTTAGGTAGAACTCGAATGCCAATATCTCCTTGTTCTCCAGGAGGTAGAATATTGCCATGTGCATCCACAATCTAGGATAAAACAGAACAATTTATTTAAGGGAATTTTTATTTAACATCAATTCTTATACCTTAACTTTGCATGTTTTGTTTTGTTTTTTGCCATTTAAGTATGCAGACTTCAAAAACATTTTAAGTAGACTTTAAATTCCTAAGATATATATATTTATTTAAATTCATGTTGCATAAATATTATCAAATACAGGTTACCAAAATGTGAAAGAAGAATAAAAATTTTCTTAAACTTTACCACCTGCAATAATCACATTTTGGTGAAATCCTTTGAGACAATATTGACGTGGAAAAAATAGGATTGCTTTATAGTATACAGTTTTACGACCTGCTTTTATCATTTAGCAATATATTTTGAATGTCTTTTCCTCTCAATAAATATCTTCATTACTAGTTTTTAAACTTTGTTTAGCTGTGGAATATACAAAACCTTACTTCAGAAGCCCAATATAAGTGAACAGGAAAAGGGAATGTTCTCTGGTTGAGACAGTGGTGAGTAAGCCAAAGCCTTACTGTCTTATTCTCACCAATCCTCAGGGTTCCCTTTAAGTACCTGATAGTACCTAGTGTTTACTAAGCATTTACTACATGCAAAGTAATAAATGCTAAAGCTGTAAATACTTTACATGTACTGTTTTTGCTTGTTTGCTTGTTTTCTTGAGACAGGGTCTCGCTCTGTCACCCAGGCTAGGGTGCAGTGGTGTTATCATAGCTTGCCGTAATCTCAAACTCCTGGGCTCAAGCAATCCTCCTGCCTCAGCTTCCCGAGCAGCTGGGACCACAGGTATGTGCCACCATGCCCAGCTAATTTTTAAAAAATTTTTTTTAGAGACAGGGTCTCACTATGTTGCTCAGGCTGGTCTCAAACCCCTGGCCTCAAGCCATCCTTCCACCTCGGTCTCACATTACAGATGTGAGCCACCACGCCCAGACCTTTATATGTACTTTAATCCTTACGATGGTCCTATATGGTTAGAACTATTATTATACCCATTTTACATATGAGGAAACTGAGGTGCAGAGAATTTAAGTAACATAGTACATGATTGAGCTGGAATTCAAATCTCAGCAATCACACTCCATATCATATGCTTTTAATCATTACACTCCTCTATGCAATGTCTCTAGGGAGTTTAATCCAATTTTTAAAAATCTAGATTAGCACTACTCAAGTTGGTTGCTTATTTTACAAACCAGATTTTGTTCTAAATGACTTTCAGCTGTTTCTAAGTATTAAACTCTACTCTGTTTTTATATGCCACCAGGTATTAATACCTTCAAATCTGAGGTGTAGCTTGCATGGAGAATAAGTATAATACTCATCTGGCATTTTCCAGAAGGAAATGGTCTTTGTGCTGAATGAGAAATGTGAATGACAAAGGAATTCTAAATGTAAAAACTTCCTTTTAAGCTCTTGCAAATAAAAAAAATATAAATTCCCACCAGTCATCTAAAGAAATATTTGGCTCTAGGTATAAAGGAAATATTCATGGAAAGGTAATATGTTAAGAGTGCCAATTACTTATCACAGACTACTCTTTAGTAGATGGGAAAATAGATAAAATCTTCCGTCTCTGGGGAGAATCATGTTCCTCATTGTTCAAGGGGTTTTAAAATGTTTAAACATGAAAATTATAAGCATTGGGCTTTGAAGTTGTTGGAATCTGATATTCAGTTCATTGGAGCCATCCCCACATGCCAGAATGTTATTGCAGATGCCCTTAGCTAAGTAACAAGAAGCCCAGTAATAACAGCCCTTGGGGAAGAGTTAAAAATGAAGGTAGCAATGATGATTGGGGATGCAAGCAGAATGCTGTTTTCCTCTCAGCTGTATCAGTTTTACATTCAAAGATAACTGCTCCAGAAAACCACTGGGCTATAATTAGTGAGGGCCCAGCAGGGGTACATTGCCATTGGGATCACTGTGAGTACAGTTATGTCTGTGAGACCCTGATAGCCTTGCATGTTAGGAAATGTTATTAAGGGGGGAAGAAAAAGAACATAGCTATGTGAAATGTCAGCTTACCTGTAATGCACACATGGTCATGCCTAATTATCAATATTTCTTTCCCCAACCTAAGGCAGCCTATTAACCAATAAACTGTTGTTAAGAATATAACTAGGGTTCTCCTACCATTTCTTTTTTAAGAAAAGCTTTTCAAAGGAAGGGAATGGGAGGGAGAGGTGAATAATAATAGCAGCATTTATCTTGGACCTTTAATGGGTGCCAAGCACTCTGATATGCTCTTTAAAGATACTATCTCATTTAATAGTATCCTCACAAGAAAGCTATGAAGTCAGTTCTGTTATTATTAGGGTTACCAGCCATCCAGGACTGAGGTGGCAGGGGGTAGGAGGTGGCATTCTTTGTGATGTATTACTTTTAGTGCCAAAACTGCCAGGCACGCTGAGACAGGTTGGTCACCCTACTCCCCATTTTAAAAATTAGGAAACTGAAGGTTAGAGAACTTTAACAGCTTACCCAAAGACACTCAGCTAGTGAACAGCAGAGATATACTTGAACCACTAGGC